TGTTCACATATGGACGCCGCAATACCAAATCTGGGAAAAAAGATCCGAACTTAATCGAATCAAATGCGCCCATGTTATGAGGGAAAAACTACCCAAATTGGGTAGATTTTTACTAAGTCGAGAGCCTACTTCTGCCAAGTGGGGAAAAATGTTGCCGTAACGAGGCTATGATTACCTACTATGTTCTTCGAGGTGCTCCAAATACGCTGGTGCGACCCCGAAACTCCGCCGACCACTAGATTACGAGCTATGGCCCTTTCTTTTTTAATCAATCATATATACAGTGTTGTATCAAGCAAGGAATAAAGGTAGACAATAAGTCAGTGATACGAAGATAATGATTGTATTTAAGATATGCTCGATACATGCGTATTTATATTCTATGGAGTGAAACTAGCTGAGATGAGACGACGGTAGACGCACCATTCATGGTGCGGTATTAGATCTGTTAGGCTGTAGGTAATAATGCTAGAGGTTCAGGATGTGTGTGAGGTATCGGTGTTCCTGATGCCAAGTGGCAACCGATGAATGTGAGATATCATTTGTTCAAGTCTAAAACACACATGTTGGATCTTTATTGGGTATGATGGATAGCCTGAATACAACATACAGCAACTTTTAATCTATTCCATTACTGCTTCTAACGTGACTGCAGTGTACTTAGTAAAACAAATAAATGTCTATGGACTTTGTTTATTGGCCTCTAGGGCGTTTCCTATGAGAGTCAGCTGTGTATTCACCTGATGTGTCATCATCATCCTCGTTATCGGTTTCCCATTGCGTATTATCTAATCATTGACTTAGCTAATCATTGTAGATTTTCAAGTCAATTCACTTACCATTGAACTCCGAATCATCGTGATCCAAATCGCTACGTTCCAGTTTGACCTCTGTATACATGAATTCTTCATCTATATCATCCGAAGAAGTAACCTTGTCAAAGGATACTTCTTTTAATGCCTTGATAATGCCACCCCAGAGGTCCCCAGCATGCTTGCGACGGAAAATGAACTCGGCAAGACGATACTTCATGATCGGAGCTGTTCTGTGGCGGGCCTTAATAATGCACTTGATGCCATTCCAGGTTCCTAAATCATATGACCAATTATTAGCATATAGTAACAAGATCGTGATTATATGTAGTACTTTACCTTCGATGGTGTTTGTATGAACACCAGCCGCAGTCTTGAACTCCTTGGCGTGGTTGACAGTCTCATGGCGGTAGCCTTTGCCAGGAATACGTGCGAGACCATTGTACCCCTTCCAACAGTCCGTTCGAATTTCGCTACCTTCTTTGATGTAATTACTCAAGATCAGGTGCAAAGTATCCTTCTTGCGATCTTCGACGGTTGTCACAAAAATCTTGCGTTCAGGAGTACGCTCGACACCGCCAACAACCCACACACCTTCAACACGATGGCCTTTGTGGCTTTTACGTTTGCCAAACTTAGATTCATCCACTTCGACAATGATGCGGTTGCCATCTTCGTCAATGCCACCTATAACAAACATCATGTTCAATACATGATTACACACACGTTCTTACAAACGATGTCACCTACCAACAGATACATCTTCGTCTTTGATGTCGGCATTCATCAAACGATATAGCAAGCGCACAACGGCACGAATGGTTGGTGCAGATACACCCGTCAGGTCTTGAATAGCCTGGAATTCCAACTTGTAAAGGTAGAGCCACACAATACCAAGAACTTGATGCATGCCGATCTTGAGCCCTGAGAAAAAGCTTCCTTCACGAATAGACTTCTTTTGACGGTTGCAGCGTTCAGATGGGCGATGGGTGCACTTCCATATGAGGTTTGGTTGTCCATCTTTCTTGACTTCAATCAACCTCATGTCAATTCCAGCCTTGCACTTCATCGACTTGCAGTAAATCCCTTCATCGTATAACCATCTGCATAGAGATTAATACATGACTACTTTTATTGCCCAAATAATTAAGTAAACAAACCTTTCAACAGTCAAACTATCAGGAAATTTGCTTGTGAAATCCCAAATGGTTTGAGCACCCTTTTGCTTAGTATGATTCTTAACAACAGGCATAATGATCAATGAATGAAAGAAAGAAGAGAAAGAGAGAGCAACAACCATCGGGCCCCACAGCTACCTAAAAAGTTTTCACTTACGAAGTCACAACTTCAAAAAAAAAGAACAAAATATAGACATCACTCATGGTAAAAAGGTACTCCCCGGGAATCGAACCCATACCTCTTGGTCAACAGAGAGGGATGTTGACCATTAAACCAAACTTTCGAACTGGCAACTGACACGGCGCGTGGTGGTATAAGTACTGGTGGCCTGCCTGGTTTGGAAAGTCGTCGTATGGTGATGAAAGAAGTATCATGGTGTAGCGGAGTAGCCATGGATACCATTATTGAAGACGCCATCTTGTTTGGGAGGATCGTTGTGGAGCAATTTGGAGTTGAAGTTGAAGAAGTGAGTGATTGGTCGGAGTGAAGTGGTAGCCTGCGGACCCTTAGCGGCACCCTTCATCTCTTTACAACTACGACATGGCCAATCCTCTTTATTAGAATGAGACATTGTTGTTGTGGCTGATCCCTTGCCAGTAAAAGGGACGTCTAAATAAATTTTTGATGATTATCATTTTCTTCCTCTAATTTTGTGGTTGCCTGGTTATCAGAACGACGTGGTCAGAACGATACAGGAGCACATTATTATACATTTATTTGATCTTTGGGTTCATTTGACTACCGAGCTATAAGAATCCCCCTTTCGCATTCTTTTCGTATTATTACACCACGTCTCGCATATCACACGTATCACAACCTCCCCACATTTCGGTATGGTGACCCACGCAAGCGCCAAAAATAGAAGTGGTCAAAGCCTGTATTGCGATTTTGGCACTTTCACCAAAATACTACGACTCTATATCACCACCGACAATGGTTGGCAAGTCATTTAGTCGATTGGCTGTCGAGAAAATGAAGGTCAAAGTTGGGTGCGTTTTTCTCATCATGTACAAGGTTTTTGGACTTGCTCTCTTCATCTACAGCATTAGCAGTGGTATGAAAAGCTGATAGAAGTGTCGACGAATAAGCCATGGTCCCTCAAGTGTATAGCTTTGGTTTAGCCTTCTTTAGGTACAAAATTGGGCATCATTTTCGTATGTGACTGCTTTTTGAGATTGTTTTAGATCGTTTCGGAGCATGCTGTTACCATGTCGGTGTTTTATTTAAAGCCCAGTTTCCTTATTTAGCTACGTATATTTATGTATATATAGTATATAAAATGTGGTCCCCTATCTTTTCAATGATCCATCCTGAAACTTCAAAGGGATCCTGATGGATTGGAAGATCTTTTTCAAAAGTTACCCGCCTTGGTGGTCCTCTCCATCCAGGGTGTACTTGATGTTGACTACCTGGATAGAGTCAGCCAATACTGTCCATCGCTAAAGTGCCTCAAATACAACGCACCCCCTCATGACGTGATCCAATGGCCGTACAAATGGGATACGAGTCTTGAACAAGGCATCCAAGAACTTTATTTTGGTGATGGATACTATGGTGATTTTACGGAGCATATGAATGAGAACATAATACGAGCATCCAAGACGTTAAAGTATCTCAATGTGCAGCATTCGCTCTTTGAGTACGAACCTGCTATGATTCCCCTTCCACCAGAGACCACGTTTCCCTATTTGGTTCATTTGTCTGGAGCTCCCGAGTATGATGACGTACTTCGTCTTTTGCTCAGTATCATTCCTCGTGCACCACATCTTGAGGTAATCAAATTGGACGATCCTTTCATTGAGTGGGAAGACACAGCTCCTATTGATATGATGGCGGCATGTATTCATCTTACCAATACGAATGTGATCATGGAAGAAACCCATCAGGATGTCAATGCTATGAAACGATTTCTCAACACGCATATCCAAAAGGGCCATCATTCTCCATTACGATCGCTAGCAATAGGGATATGGACAGAAGAATGTGCCCAAGAGCTTTTACCACTCCTTTCACAATTGCCCTTGGTGGAAGATCTACATCTCGCTGTCGACTACGAATCACCATTGGCCACGATCATTGACGCCATCACCGCCAACAATGCCATCAAACAACTGAAAATCAGCGTTACGATATGCGATGTCATTGACGAACCTATCTTTGGTCGTTTACAGCATGCACACTCTCTGTCGTCATTGGCTATTGATGTGGATCACTTATCACCAATGGCAGCACTTTCGATACTTGAAGTGACCCAGCTCGTCCATTTGCAGATACCATTCAAGGGACTTGATGATTCAACCATTGACATTCTACGAACGCAGTTTCCCAATGTAAAAACCTTGCCATCCCCTTTTGCACTTTAGAGAGCTCCCATTTGTTTTCAAGCCATCTCATTGCACAAATAAATTAAGATGTGGGTGATGATAATGTCGTGACATCATACATAAGGTCTGCTTTAGCTTGAGTGATACGTTATTAGGTACACTTTACAAACCCCAGGGACATGGAATGATGCTATTGAGATCTACGCCAAAGAAATCAGAGTGTACATCTACAAAAGGTGATTCGCGAAGGGATTGCTTTATGGTATGCATGTACCCATCTTGATTTAGTATCCAAATTTAAATCTCTTTATTATGCAAGAGGGCATGGTATAAGGGATGGATCATTAAAGTAAGCGGGTGTCTACATAACCTAATCTGCTTGGAGCTGGAATGGTACATGGTGTTCGTTCCTTGAGTATGGATCGGATGTCTTCATCAATTGGCCAATAGCTAGTAAGATGTTGTAAATGATGGCACGCTTGTAAGCTTATCATGCCTGCTTGTGCATTACTCGTATTCCCACTGATAGTAAGACGCTTTAGATTTTGGTTGCGGCTGATTTGATAGAGGACACGGTTGGTCGTTGTACCACTGTTACCAATATGTACGGCCCCCAGATTATGGCATCCATGATGAAGCGACTCAAACAATCCAACAAAAGGCTCTTGTGCAAGATCATTGGTAAACAAATGGAATGTTGCCAAAGATTTCAACCCTCGGAAAGCGTGGATCAGCATTGGCTCCGCATTATGAAGGCGTACTTGAAGCATTTGCAAACGTGATCCACCTTTATCAGCCATGTAGTTGACATGGTCTCTCACAAACTCGGCCACAAGCGTGTCATAGTTCTCAGGACGTTAATTGGTGACAGTATCCAGTAATAGGCAGCGCAGGTGTTCGCATTTGGCCAAGGCTTGCAATGTAGATTTGCTGATTGTATAGCCGTATAGGGTGATCTCTTGCAAATAGGGCGCACGCTGAATGTTGTATCAAGCAAAGAATAAAGGTGGACAATAAGTCAGTGATA